TGCAGAATTATTATTATTATAGATATAGACATTAGTAGAATTAAATAATATAATCTTACAAAACAATGTTTTTGTATCTTCAAAAAAAGATTTTTGGATCCAAATTCCAGCATTCGATTTTGGATCCAATTGTGTAAGAAGATGACGATGTATGGTCACAATGTCATTTTTGACTGCAGTCTTAAGTTGGTAGCATGGTATTTGAATTGGCAGGCTCGCAAGGTGAGTTCAGTTAGTAGGCGCGAGCGCAGCTCCCGCGGGTCAAGGCGCGCCATCCTGCCATCGATTCAACTAAACGGAGCTGTATTACGTTCTCATAAGGCGTGTTGTTGTGCAGCTGCTAATTGCAGCAGAAGGTCTGCGAGTGTGGTATGCGGCAATCCCTTCGCCGCGCGACAAGTGATTCTCCATTATCACGGAGGAACACTAACAACAACAACAACAGTAGTAGCACTGTCGCTTAGTTTGCACTTGGACACTTCACTACAATAAAAATAACCGGAAAACTACCCGATTGCACCTACAAGTCGATTGAACTTCAATATTTTTTAAGAATAAGAAACAAGAAAAAATATTTGAAAAAAATATGTGTCACCTGACCAGAGCGATGACAAAAAAGAGAGTAAATAATAATTTTAAAATAAGCACAAGTATGTTGACATTGTGGGCTGAGATAAAGCGTATGCAGGCGTGTGAAACATTCAGTTTCGCTTTATCAGCTATATATATGTATATATATTCTACAGTATGTACACATGCGAGGTGGCGTATGTTGCGACACTTGGACGATATGACGTGGTACTTATAAATATTTTTGACATATTTTACGTAGCATTTCAATGACATTCTTTTAACATATCCTTTTAAGATATAGGATCCAGATAACATAAGCCCTCCCCTTGTATTGCGTCAGGTTGGTGGCGGGGCGGGGACAGAGCCCAGCATTGACTCAAATTATACACAATTTCGAAACAGTAAAATAATACAGGTTTAAATAAATGCGTTTTACACCTACCATTTTGATTTCTTTCTGGAAAGTAGACACATGTCAAATGTGTTAGTAAAAGTGTAAAAAATGTGTTAGCTTTGTAATAATAATAATAATATTTATTCCATAACTTTCTTTCTTTCTCTTTACGAAACATTCTATACATATAAATGTATTTGTTATTCCTATTAGTTTTAGGTAAGTACATTTTCAACGAGCGTTCGTAACCCATCGGAAGAACGGCTTTGTCTCATTTGAGAGGTCGGCGCGGTTCCAATCCCTGTGGCGATAAGTGTGTGCGTAAGATTTTAATTTGTACACGTTTGTGAATGTTTAGTGGTAGTAACTAAACTAACGGCAAAGGATAACACCGCGACGGAGCCTGCAAGTTGAAGAAAGTTCACAACCTTTGGACGACGTCTATTGTCCCCAAGCCTGATGAAGCGCTTCGCGGACTGCGGTTTACACTAATTGCCCTGCAATGGGACTAATAAAGGGTAATTACTCAAAATCGAAATCTCTGCCGACGTGTTGCAAAGTGATCTTAAGCTGAAATAATATCAAACACCATCTCTGGGGCGTCGCAATTGTGAATAAAACTATGAAGAGATTTAAAGAAAATAACTTGATACGTAACTGGTTTTCAGCAGCTGGTGAGTTTGACTGACTTATTACAATTTTCCGTATGTAACTATAAAACGGTATCAAACTCGTACAGTAAATAAATATATTGGCGTTCTTTACGTCTGTAACAATGGCGTGTGCGACAAAAGGCAGCGCGCGGTTCGCGACTCGCGGTGGCATTCCATAGCTCAATATCTGATGAATGACACTTTGGGAGCATAAACGTGAACATAGGTAGATACTATAAATAACGCAATTACATTATCCAGTGAGTAAACATCGCGTCGCAGAAATGATGTTTACAACTGATTTCGAGATATCGATATGTGACTCATGTACGGTTTATCTGTTTTTACAACATTACTATCACTTCAAGGAAAGCTACTTAAAACGAAATAAGAATTTAATCATATGTTGTACCTATCTATGTTATACCTATCCAGTGTTGGCAGTGGCTGCAAGGTTCGAACTTCAATCCTTTTATTTAATAAATTGTTGTTCCGTCGTTATTTAAATAGTTACTTAAATGAGAATAGTTTGAAATAAAATTCAAAAGCTTCATTGTTACTTCTTAAAAACTGTCTAAACAAATATGAAGGTCACTTAGGTACCCACGAATGGAGTCACAAGAAATGGCTGAATACAATTTGCTAAAAGTGGAAACAAGCATAGTCGTTTTATTCCATTCATAAGTAGGTGGAACCAGAAAGCTTTTAAATCACTTCTTTGGACCGTAAACCAGGAATTTTAATGACCTCTTTGAGCACATTAGTGTCATGAATGGCGTTAGACTTCCCATGCATACATCTATGTCAAGTTAATAGCAAACAGTTGACAAGGCAAGCATATGCTGCGGTGGGAAAGTCTGCAAATGTCATTTAGCTGAGTTTGGTCACGTCCCGCACTTTCCCGACGACGTCGTTGGCCGTCGCGTCGTATCGTCGAAACGTCGTCTTCGCCAACATTGACCTTGTCATGTTGACATCACATAGTGCGTATCACTTTCCACGCACTTCTCTAGCCCTCGGTAATCGGTATTCTTATTGTTTTCTACTGATCAATGTTTTGAAATATGTTTTTTTTTATTAATCTTTGTCAATCATTTATATCAATCTTCAATATGTTCCTCAGCGCGAGCACTTGGGTTAGATTCTTGACATGATTTAGGTAGATATTTCAAAGTCTGTGGTGTCAAGTTCGTACGATTTCCGTCATTGATATTTTTATCTATGGCATTAATCGTTCACGTTGCTAGATAAATTTTTGCAAATGGCATATTTATAAACTAGCATTTCTCTTCCACTTTTATGTCCAAGAATTCATTAAAGACCATTTAATTCAGGGTAAAAGGTCAATAACTGCTCATGCAGGTGTATCTGGCGGTGCTTTCACGTCTAATTAGCGTTCGCTCTCACTTTATTAGAAACAAGTCGATTTCATAAGTTATATGACTCTCGACCGGTCATCACCGCAACCGGCGCAGGCGCAGCCAGCCTTGGACATGCATTATTCAATGTTAATAATGTAACACGTGGTTGTGATCGTCCTGTTAAACATATCTTGTTTGTAACAGAGGAAAATCGTGTTATATGAGAGTCTTGCAAATTTCACATATTCGACAAAATACAGGGAATAATCGAGATTATAGGGTTTCGCGATTGTTGCAATCGCGTACCTATGTATATATGTTTTTTCAAACAAACAGTGAGCTGTGACCACGGGACCTGTAAGGGGCCCGAAACGTGGGTATGTTTGAAAAAAAAAAAACAAATATACGCGATTCACATCCGAAAAATTAGTTTCATTTCTTACAGGAAAATTGTCTGTTGACAATCGAAAAGATACAGTTCAAAGTCCTCTATAATTTTTCCGTCGACTTAAACAATTCGAATTGCTGCAAGTGGTCATCGACAGTGATAAGTGTATGTTGCCCAGCATGTGCAGTGGACCGAGCGTGTCATCGCATGCTGACTGCTGACGTCATAACACTCTTGCGCAACGCTCTACATGCACGCAGTGATGCTTCACGCCCTCGCCTGTGATGGTACCGTGGAAACGGCGCTGCTGCCGCATCAGCGGAATTCACCTGTTCCCATAAGATTTGATAATTTCAGAAAGTCTACTATAATTCGTTAGCCTGAAACCATGGCTGGAAGTTACTCTCGATCAGGTGCATATTGTTACGTCAATGCGGACAGCGGGCTCATTGCCGCCCGCTTCTCGCGGCCACATTTTTATGCAAATATCACCGACAGACTTGCGACTTGTCTTGTCGCGACTGCCTCTGGCCACCGGCGCGGCGTGCTTACGCGTGAGGTATGCCGATACCTTACACTAATTATGTATACATTCCCTATTGCCGCGGATGCGGTTCTGACTACCACTGTATGGGTGTGTTGGACGAATTTTAATTAACATCGTTAACTGGGTTGATGTACTCTTGGTTTTCTTCAAAAACTCCTCGACTAGGCTTTAGTGCCTTCTGTATCTCACGTCCATCGATGTTCTTCACCTACATCCATATGCATTTGTATACTTTTTGTTCTATACCTAAAACATTTCAATAGGATGCTCAGAGGCTATTACTTCTATATACATATTTTATTCTCCGTCATATCTTCTTTCTTGAAAAATTACTTTCTTGACACCGTCGTACCACGATGGCGAATATCAGAGATTCCGTACTGTATCATAGTCAGAGATAACAATCCACTGTAAGGATGCTTCGTGACTGTGATACCATTGCATGTGCACGAGCTCACTCAATGTGAATGCAGGTCCACGCTGCATTATGATTTATGAATATTTCCCATAGAACGTCGTTGCGAGTGTAGGCGCTTAGGCTAACATATGCGGTGTGTTATGTAGAAGAAATGGGCATAGTTATTAATGACTTTTTGCGATAGCAGCGGTCGCGGGTCTAATTAGAGCAGAGGTGCTGGAGCACCGTAACATTGTACGGCCGCCCCCGCGCCCCGCGCCCGCGGGCGGGCAACGACCCCCGCACCGCGGCCCGCGGCCTACTCGTCCGCTTGCTCTTACACCTCTACTACACCTATCATTTCAGTTTTCTGCGTAAGAGATTCCACCACAAGGCAATCCATTCCACCCCTACAGTGCTGTAGTGCACTATTCGATCATCGGAATCGATTGTGGATCCTGCAACTGCAGCGGACGATTTCTCGCAAAGCAAAGAGAACGCGAACATTCCCTCACATCACAACACCCGAACGAGGGAAAACGACGAGCTTTCGACGCCGACCGACTAGTTTCGTTCCACGTCTTAGATTGCCGAGTGTGTGGCTTGTGAAGTGTGCGACGCGGACTCGCGAGCGCCTATGTCGCCGGCGCGGGTGGTGGTCGTAGATGCGGCCGGGGCCCAACTCACCTGCTGCCGGCCTCAACTTCTGCGGCTGACACACTCTGAGTATAGCACAGCACTCGCGACACAGTCCTGCACGCGTTGCGGCAACCCGGGCGACTGCCGACTGGGGCCCGCACGGCCTGCACTCCCCCTCCCCCGCGTCGCACCTGAGCCTCCTCAGGTGTGCGCGGGCGCGGCGTGGCGGGAGGGCCGAGCGGAGGCGCGGGCGCGGGCGGCCAGTCTGCAGCCGCGCGCGAAGCCTACCGCGCGCACGACCGAGCCAAACATGTCCGCGAATGGGTCGGCGGCCACGGAGCCGCGGCTCTGCCACGTGCGGAAGATGCCCGACTTCGACGGGTACGGGTTCAACCTGCACGCGGAGAAGGGTAAACCGGGCCAGTACATCGGGAAGGTGGACGACGGCTCGCCGGCGGAGCGCGCCGGACTGAAGCGCGGCGACCGCATCCTCGAGGTGAACGGAAACAGCATCGCCGGCGAGACGCACAAGCAAGTGGTGGCGCGTATTAAGGAGCGACCTGACGACGCTGAGCTGCTGGTGGTGGCGACCGCGCCGGGCGAGGCGCTGCCCGGACTGGAAACGCCGCCGGCGACTCGTGCCTCCATCGCTGACAGCCCGCCGCCGCCATCGGAACCTGCGCGCCTTAACCTGCAAATGACGGCCGCCGAAATGCGCGCGCACCTCGCCGCCAAGAAGAAGTTCGATCCTAAAAAGGTGCCCATGGACCTCAAGTCCAAGTTCGACATTGTGAAAAAGCTGTGAGAGTGCGTGCCGTGCGTCAAGCGCGACAGTATCGCGTGTCGTTGTTATTGTTGTGCGATGTATTGGATGTAATTTTATATTGTACGTAATGGTAGTGAGGGTGTTATTAGCGCCGCGCGAAGGCTGCTCGCTCGAGGCCGGCCGCGGCGACGGCGGGGGCGGGGCGGGCGGCGGGGAGGCGAGAGCGATCCTCGTGCAGGTGCATTGCGCCGTTGCCAACTCTCGCGACACCGATAGCTTCACATACGACTTTAACATCCGTCGGACCGCTGACAATTCAGCTGCGGGTGTCACGGGCCGGCTACTCACCGAGCTGCTCGCTGGCCGCCCGTTGGCCACCCACTAGCCACCTGCTGGATGCCTTCTAGCCGCCGCCGCTCGGCGCTTCACACATTTTCCTACCACTGTCGCGCGCACGATCGAATTTACCAGATTCTGACGTAATTAATTATTGTGCCTTTGACAAATGCCATTGAGTAATATTGTACATAGATAATATTAAATATTGTGTACCTATTTATACACGAGATGCAATTAAAATTTATTAATCGATTATCTAAATGTGTAGTTTAGAGTTATTTAAACTAAGTGCAATTTTGTTGTATTTTCAATAAAGAAATTATGGATGCGGATGCTAATTTCATTTATTTGGTAGAGCGGTACAGCTAAAACGAGTATTGCATCTACGCACGTATGTTGCTGTTGAAAAAATGCGTGTGACATAGAAGTATAAGTAATAAATAAGTTTGGCGTGCCAGTGGAGTGAATAGTTGTGACGTTAGAAACTGCCGGGCGTCGGGTGTCGCGCGATTTAACCACGTCGCGACGCGCTGCTGTCGACGAGGCTGTGTCAACAACGAGGGATTGTTTACGCGTCTGTGGCTGCGACGCAGCGGGGCGACGTACTATACAGTTAACCTATATCCTGAAATCTTTGAATGAATTTCATCTCCATGCTTGGACTAACAGAGCATAATCAATAAAGACAATGCGCTGCATATGCCATTGACGTAAGACGAATATGTAAGTTGCAGTTCGTGTGCATCGCCGAGCGGTGAAAGTGCTAAATGAGCTTTTTTTTTGAACATTTGCGCCTGACCGGTTGACGTCCAACCACTGTTATTACTCTTATTTTATTTTATTTCTTGTCATTTTCGGGTTCACAACCGGACATTATTAGAACTGACGAATTAAACTAATTATAGGTAACTGTAACCACATGTTACTGTAATAACAGTTAAAAAAGAAGGTATGGTCCAAATGTCGTTATGTTTAACATACAGTGATTGCAATAAAATAAAAATGTATGACAAATACATTTACATACATACTTCGACACGTAGTATTTTGTTCCAAATTTAATTATTATTGGCATTTAATATTTTACAAATATGACTAATGTAAGAAATATGTTACTAGAGTCGTAATAGCATTCATTGGTTTGCTTCGTCATTGCGGAAATTACTGTCATCAAATTAAATCGATTGTCGTTTACCCAATGATAATTAGATACCTAAGTAGATATGTTCCGTGTATGATCTACCTCATTTAACATGCTTAAGATTGACAACTTAGATAGTTACTTCTTTTGACTGGCTCCGCGGCCGACGCGACGCAGCGGGGAGACTAAAAATCTTGCTTATTATTATTATTTGAGTTGAAATCTTACCCGTCCTATCTCTCTACAACTCAAGGGCAGTAGCTACCTCTCCCTGCATTAGCGTAGTCTTAGAAAGAGATACCGCCGCCGTCTTCCACTTTCATTCGTGTCACCTAGCCCAAGTCCTAGTATTACGTTAGTACTTTGTGTCATACAATAATGTTAAATAATAAAATTTTCGATCCATTACGTGAACATTAATAATAAAGGAAATGTGGAATGCTGTCACATTTGAACCCCAAAGTCTGCACCTAACTTCCTATTATTTTAATGATATGGAAAATCCAGAGTATCCAACAATAGTACTTTAAGCCGTCTTCACGTGGTTATCTATAATTGTGATATCTGTTCGTGATACCACAACCATGTAAAAGGTTCGTATCTTTAACAATCTAATCTTATACTGAATAAATCAATATGAGCAGATTGTCTATTTTAAGTCTGTGATGAACACGGGCAATAAAATTGGACTACTAGCATATTTAATAACTGGTTTTTTCTTTTTTAACGACTTTGTTTCGCAATAATCGAGAATTTGAAGTATAGCTAATAAGACAAATAGTCCCAATTTAGTCCCCCCTTTGCTTGATGACATAACAGATTGATATAT